GATGCTAATGATAATAATAATGTTCAGTTGACTGAGTTTCAGGTTTAATGAATAAAACAGATAATGAAGATGATGCTAATGATAATAATAATGTTCAGTTGACTGAGTTTCAGGTTTAATGAATAAAACAGATAATGAAGATGATGCTAATGATAATAATAATGTTCAGTTGACTGAGTTTCAGGTTTAATGAATAAAAGAGATAATGAAGTAGAGGACGTTTAGCAACCTCTCTGGAAAGCTGCTTACACAGCCTCCCAGTTGGCACCTATCCAGGAATAAATCTGGATATATTGGATTTATTCCTGGGTAAGTAACAGCTGCGGTAGCCTAAATCTTGCCTCACAATCAGGAGGTTGTGAGTTTGATCCTAGGTAGAGGCAGATGCTTGTGCAGGGGGTTGGACTAGATGACCTGAAAGGTCCCTTCCAACCCTGTTAATTGCTTACATAGAGACCCAAAACACTTTGAACTACCCACATCCGGGTCTCACTGCCAGGGACGTCCCCGACTTCCGCTTCGCTTCCAGGCTCTTCCGGGCGAGCTAGGCCTCTCCTCTCTATCATACGCCCCGTTATTCTACAACGGCTTGGCCGCGACATGGCGGTTCTATTGGGCCTCCAGAAACCGGAAGTCGCGCTCCAGACACACCGGGAAGAGAGGTTCCGCTCCCCGGAAGTAGTTTCGGCCGATGCCGGAAGAGAAGGCCTCGGCAAACGGCGAGAGCCTAAGATGGCGGAGGTGGTGAGTGCGGAGCGGAGGGAAAGGTAGAGGAGCCCGCGGCATCCCGGGGCCTTCCTCGATCGCCCGCTTAATTTCTCCTTTTGTTTTTTATTTTGCAGGAGGAAGTGACCGAAGGGTGTAACCTCCCCGTCTTGCGCCGTAACCAAGAAAAGGAAGACGAGTGGCGTGAGTAACGGGGAGGGGCGGGGTTTGAGAAGGAGTGGGCGGGGCCACGTGAAATGGTCAATGGAGCTTGCAAGTCCCATTCAGACTTTGTTGGAGGAGGAGTTTAAAGGGGGAGGGGCTTAGTGGGCTGCCAAAAAAGTGGGGGCCCCACAAGGAGGAGAGTTGGAAGGGGCCCTGGAGGTCATCTAGTCCAACCCACTGCCTGACCCTACCCCATTTCTGACAGAGGGCTGTCCGGTTTTCACTTGAAAGCTTCCATTGATGAAGCTCCCACAATTTCTGAATAACAGAATAATAACATAGCTGGAAGGGACCTTGTAGGTCATCTAGTCCACCCCCCCACCCGAGCAGGAGACCCCACACCATTTTTGACAGATGTCTGTCCAGTCTCTTCTTGAATGCTTCCAGCGATCATTTTAAAACTGATTTTGCCTCTTGGCTTCGTTTTTTTTCTCCGGCTTATCTCTGCAGTGTGTCATTCGGTTCATAGTCGAGCCAAATTTACCTCCTGGTGGAAAAAGTGTTTTTGGGGGGAAATCTGACTTTTTGTAAGTGTTAGAAAGAGAAAGTGGCCAGCTTTGGTTTTTCTCCTGTAATAATCTGCTTTTTTCTTTTCACAGCGCTGGCTGAAATCCTGAGTGTCAAAGACATCAGTGGCCGGAAACTTTTCTATGTTCACTATATTGATTGTGAGTAAACGAACCACAGGTGGGAACCACTGGATGGTTGGGAAGGAAAATATTTTCTGGACGGAGATTATGAAAATTGGGAGTTGGTTGGGGGTGAGTGGAGGGCCGCTACAATCCTATCTGGACCACTATGAAACTGAAATCAAGATAATTTATGACCACAGATTGTCCTCAGCTTACAACCATTCATTTAATGACAGTTCCAAGTTACTACGGCATTGAAAAAAGTGACTTATGACCGTTTTTCACACTTATGACTGTCACAGCATTCCCCAGGATCACGTGATCAAAATTCAGACGCTTGGCAACTGACTCGTGTTTATGACGGTTGCGGTGTCATGTGTGATCCTCTTTTGCGACCTTCTGACCAGCAAAATCGGGAGGGGGCAGATTCACTTAACAACCGTGTCCTGAACTTAACAAATGCAGTGATTCACTTAACGAGTGTGGCAAGAAAGATTGTAAAATGGAGCAAAATTCGTGTAGCAACATAAATTTTAGCCTCAATTTTGGTTGTAAGTTGAGGACTACCTGGATACCCCAGAGGTCCAAAATGTTGGCTTGTTATCGACGCTACTTAAAAGATCTCTCCTCTCTCCATATCTATCTATCTATCTATCTATCTATCTATCTATCTATCTATCTATCTATCTATCTATCTATCTATCTATCTACACACACACACACATATATACATATACATACATACACACACACACACACACACATATATACATACATACATACATACATACATACATACATACATATATATCACCATCTCCTGATTGGTCCAAAGTCACCCAGCTGGCTTTCGTGCCTAAGGCAGGACTAGAACTCCCAGTCTCCTGGTGATTGTCCCAAAGTAACCCAACTGGCTTTCATGCCTAAAGTGGGACTAGAACTCCCAGTCTCCTGGTGATTGGCCCTCTCATCTTAGTTTCATACCTATCGCGGGACTAGAACTCTCCGTCTCCTGGTTCCTAGCCTGCTGTCTTATCCAATATAACCTTCCCCCCCCCCCTCACTGAATCCCTGAGTGCCTTTTCCTAAACGAAACCCCTGTCTTGCCTTAACTATACAGTCAACAAGCGTCTGGACGAATGGGTCACTCACGACCGGCTGGATTTAAAGAAGATCCAGTTCCCCAAGAAAGAAGCCAAGACCCCCACCAAGAATGGGCTGCCCGGATCCCGGCCCAGCTCCCCGGAACGTGACGTGGTAGGATGCGCGAGGCTTCGGGGGAGGGAGCGGCGTTGACGGGAAGAGCCTGTTTGGGAGGAGAGTCCTAGCCATCATTTAGGGTTCGGGGTGGGGGTGGGGGGGAGGCACGGTTGAAATTCCAGCCCAGGTGATAACAAAACCCAGGAATGTTTCTACGACGTCAGGACGGGGGAGTTTGAGAACATTGACAGTTCGATTCTGCTTCTTCCCCGCCGAGATCTCCGCCTGCAGCTCGGCCTGGAGACAGGGGTCTCCTCCCCCCCGTACGTTTCCCCGCCCTCCCCTGAGCAGGAACCCGCGTCATGTTGGTAATGCCCGCCTTCCTCTCTATTCAGAGGAAGACCTTGGATCTACAACCAGCCACTCCATCCAGCGGTAAAACCCTACCCATCCCGGTGCAGATAACCCTCCGTTTTAACCTATCTAAAGAGAGGGAGGCCGTCCCTGGCTCGCCCGACCAACCCCTCTCCTCCAGCTCCTGCGTCCAGCCAAACCATCGTTCTACGGTACAAAAACTGGCACTCGGCCGCTTGTTCCTTTTGATGTCGCGCTTGCTCGGCCCCTTTTCTCCAGAGGCCGCACCAGCTGGTGGGGGGGTTGAGTTAGGTCTGGGCTAGCGAGCGAGACCTCCGGGGGTGGGTGGGTGGGTGCGTCCAGGGGCATTGTGGGTCCTTCCAGGGCCCCCACTTCCCCTCCTGAGTCAAGCCAGGACAGGGCAGACCGTGTTCCATCCCAGAACAGAAAGGGGGTGGGTGGGAAAGACACTTAAAGAGACCACGATATTAAGTTTAAACCACAGATGAAGAGGGCTAGGCCACCTTTAAGCCACAGATGCATTGGGTTCGGCTTGCTACAGGTATGTCCTCGAATTAACGACCACGATTTCCAAAGTTTCTCTGGCTAAGCTAAGTGGGTTTTCCTACCGTTTTAGTACCGTCGTAACTTCTAACGGTCACTAAGTGAAGGGTCGTTAGCCGGGGACCTATCTGTATGAAGTTTCAGGCAGGAATGGAATGGGCTTGACAACTGAATTTGAAGAATGGACGGACATAAATTGGTCAGGGGCTCAGTAGTCAGAATGGAGTATGGCAGGCTTGCTCTGCCGACTGCCAGCAGTTCGATCATGACCGGATCAACCTTGACTCGGCCTTCTG